ATTCATCTCTGCATGCAAATAAAAGAAGTATGGTTTGCTTTTACAGATGAGAGTAATATGCTACATTTTGTTCTTACATTGATTCCAGTTTAGGAAATGAAGCCATGGTTCCCAGTTCTTATATAATGTTATGCTTGCTGTCCAAGTTTGTTTAATCACACCCACAAAAAAGTGGAACAAAGAATGGGAAAACAAGCCGTAAACTGCTTGTCACAATAAATTAACATTCAAAACTTACAGCAGTGTTCAAACACAATCATGTCTTTTGACGGGTGGGAGGGAGAGACACAATGATCGGAAGAATAGTAGAGTGCTGTAAAGGGATTATAATGCCAGCTAATTTGTTTTGATTTTTTTCCTTACAGATTACCTCCCCCCCCCCCCAAAATCATCAGTTTTACTTTGGTTTTACACACATAATCAATTTCCTGATCAATGACTCCCAACTGAGATTATGTTCAGAATAGGTGGGAAATTAGTTTTGTGTTGCCCAAGATGCATATGGCATACATCTGCTTATATTACATCATATTTTCCATTGCATTCCATTGTCTAAAGATATTGTTCTAAAGCACTTTATGTTGTCAACCCACATACCTCAGCACTGTCAGCAATCTGGACAAAACATTGGCTATCCCTAACTCAAAACCACATAAATGATCCTTCTCACATACTCCAATCTTTTCAAGATTATCCACTTGTTCTTGCTCTGCTCTAACACGCAGCCAGAGTCTGAAAAAGCAACCATCCTACCTACCTCATATGCTACCTTGAAGGAAGCTTTGCTGGGGGTGGTCATGTCTGATGAGACTGAGGAATGCAATGTGCAATAGAAGTTGCCTAGGAAGAAACAAGCAGGTTAGTATGTGACTGCAATTCATTTGGGCCCAACCAGAAATGCTATCAGGGGTGCAGATTTAATCTTCAGGATTAAATAAAAGGAGGATGTGGCAATGGCAGAATCAGAAACAAGGGTGTGTGTTTTCTATCCTGAGGGCCACACTTGGCCTTTGAGTAGGGTGGCAAGGATAACACGCCAAAGAATGTGTGACACAAGAAAAGGACTAATTTTGATTTGATTACATATATCATTCATGAAAAATAATCAACAGTACCCCTCTTCAATCAATTATTTAATATCTCCCCCCCCCCCAAGTCAACTATTGGGAGTCTCTGGGGATGTAATGTTATGTGGGAATGACCTTAGCAGATGAAAGAGATACTGCCCAGGGAACAATCAGATAAGAAGGTACAGCCCATAGCTGCATAATGGGCAAAGAAATTCAAAAAGGAACCTCCCTTCTTTCTCAGGCTGTAAAAAAGATGGAGGGAGATTTGTACTTACAGACTTACAGGGTTATGTTATTGTGGCCTTAGAATAAAAGGCAATTGGCTTGCAGGATTGATGTCAACCTTCCCAGATGGACCAGACAGGAAATATAACCAGTTAAGCTAATTCTACATTATTGTAATGCTAGTTTAAGATAATCTTGCAAATTTTATACATAGTATAAATTTGCTGTGGTCTTTTTCACAGACTGAGAAGGAAGGGAAATTCCTTTTTGAATTGCGGACTTAACCTCTCTTATCTTATTGTTCCCTAAGCAGGATTTCTTCTTTCTCCTAAGATCATTCCCATTACAAGGTGCCACTTCTAAGGCTGCTGGGCATAATACCCTGAACATTTGGTTGTACAGCTCTGCTCAAACTCTAGAGACAAACAAAACAGGAAACCAGACAACCAGCCAGAATCCAGACAACTCAAACCATTTCCACTTCCCCTGTATGGCTGTGTCTGTCAGGCTTGCCAATTACCATATTTTTCGAAGCATAAGACACAAGATTTTGAAGAGGTACATTTTTTAAAAAAGTTTTTGTACTCTGCAGACCTCCCAAACCGTCTGCACGCCGTATTTTTTTTGTGAAAAATTGGCATGCAGAGAGTTTGAGAGGCTGCAAACTGCTCATGTCGGGGGGAGGGGCAAAAACAAGCCAAAAATGGTTTGTTTTTCAAGAAAATGGGCCCTTTTTTGCCCCCCAAAAGGGCATGCATAGCCTTTAGGAGGCTTGTAGAGTGCTCCTGGGGGCTGGGTGGGGCAAAAACAAGCAAAAAACAGCCCGTTTTTTGCTCGTTTCCCCTTCCTAGCCCCCAGGAGCACTTTGCAGGCCTCCCAAACCCTCTGCATGTCAATTTTTGTAAAGGGGGCTGGGTTTCAGGAGGCCAAAAATGCTGTATTCAGTGTATAAGACACACCCAGATTGTCACCCTCTTTTGGGGGGAAAGAAGGTCCGTCTTATACTCTGAAAAATACGGTATTGCCTCTAAGCTGTTCTCTCTACTTACCATCATCTTCATTGAAGACAAAATCTCCTAGTCGCAACGTTATTTTGCAGTAATGGCATTTGAAGCACCCTCGATGGAAGAAGCGTCCTTCGGCACTGACCCTCTCCAGGATGTAGACGTGATCTCCACAGAAATAGCAGGCATCACTGCTTTTCATCAGAGAGACAGGCGAAGTCTATCAGAAGATCAATAGTTTCCCTTAGGGCCATGAATTCTGAGCAGTCTTAAACCTCAAGCAGACTCCCTCCTCAGATCAGGTCAGTGCTGATCTGTGTTATCAGGTTTCATGGATCACCCAGGTCAGAAACCAACAAAGAATGAGGGTTTGGCAATCAATTGGGTGTAAGTGATGGTAGAAGCCAGAGCAATGTGCAAAATGAACAATTGCAATGAGTTGCAAAGGGAACAACTCAGGTGCTAACAATATCGAAAGTACAATAGTTGTACTGTGTACTACCCAGAAATCCCAGTGCTGTTATCCAGAGAACAGAGGTCATAGTACAATTGTTCTCCAAGTAAACACTTAGTAAAGGATACCAATTACAAAGGTATCTGATAGAGGTGTGGGTACGAGAAAAAAATGTCCTTTGGATTTTTTTTAATTTGACAGTTAACCATAAGCTTGCTCATTTTGAATGCGATAAGGAAGAGTGAAATCTGAAGGAAATCCCATGATTAATTCCTAGCATTTATGGAAAGAATTGAAAAAATAACAATGTCTGAAAATCCTAAAAAGCTGCTATCAGTCACTATAGCAATTCCAGATTAGATGAACCTATGGTCAGATTTATGGGGTAGCTTCCTAAATTTCTAGAGACATATTTCATGTTATATGTTAAACTCCAGTATCTTAGCTCAAAATAAGACAGCAAAATTGTTAGGGAGACAGATCCATTAGAGAGCCCCTGAAACATCCATCAAGGTAATCCTTTCCTGGAAATGTCTGAACCTGAACAATGCTGTTGAGCTTCCTGATAGTATGTAACTATACTAGTGGGATATAATAGCAACTCTATTCATTGTTTGGTTAATCCAGCTTCTTCCTCATCACCTGGCTCAACAGCTGTTTCAGAGAGCCTCTTGCTAAACAGGGAAACAAGTGTCTTGATCTCTGGTGGAAAAACTAATAGTTTGGGCACCATCCAAAATTTTGGCAGCTGTTCTGTGCAATGACACAAGCACATCTCAGCCACAAGAATTTCCCACAAGTCAAAAATTTACTGTTATAGTTTTGAGGAGGGAAATGAATTGAACAAGTCTCAGTTGAGTTTTGAAAATGAATCTCTTATTGCCCCTGCCAAAATTCATTTATGGAGGATGGAATTTGTCAAATGACATTTGAATTCCAATTTTTACAGGTGGACCTTAACCACTGGGATTAGAATTTGGATGCAGGATTCAACATATTAGTCACACAAAAGCTGTAGTTCATAAATCATGTGTACTGGGGTTTCCATCTTTGTGTTCCAAAGTCAGAAAACTCATACCATTTATTACAATGATTTATACAACAAGAACTCATGTTTTTCAAAAATTGTCTACTAGGAATACTTATTCCATCATTGCCTGCCTGCCTGCCTGCCTGCCTTCCTTCCTTCCTTCTCTATTCTAGATCTGATATATTACCTAAAATCAAACATCAAAGGATTTTCAGGATAGATTGTAACAAACTTTACATGCAATCACAATATCCTTCCCTAAGATAAATTCTATAGCTGATTATGAAGGATTGTTGAAAGATGATTGCACAACTGACAGCATAACCCCTTTCACACAAAAATAATCACAAATGAAATAACAAACTTAGTTCAACATGTTGGATGTCAATGCCATGAACCCGGATCATTCCAACTAGAAATAATGTGAACTGACATAACAGGTCCATAGATTCTCCATCCCTATTCTAGCTGACTGGTTTTAAGGTAGAATCAGCATGGCATAGTGGCTCTAAGCTAGGACCAGAGAAACCAACGTTTAGGCCCTCCCTCAACCATGGAGACCCACTCCATGACTCACTTATTTGGGACCAATCCTCCTTTCTCAGCCCAATTCACCTCACAGAAGTGTTATGGTGGGGATAATAGTAGTCAGGAGCATTATGTATACCTCCTTGAGTTGTAAAAAACAAAAATGTGATATAATAATGACAGAGCCTTGGGAAAGTGGCTAAAAATGTTAAATGCCAATATCTGGCCTACTGTGTAACCAAACATAATATAATTATTATCTCACAAGTTTTCTGTTGTGAGGAAAAAGATTTCTGTGAGGAAGAGGAACTCCTATGCATAGCCCATGAATGGCAGGATATAAATATACACATTAATAGTTTACATAATGACACTGAATATTTAATGTTCACTAATCTTATCCTTTTCAAGAGGAAGGATGATACTAAAAAAATGAAACAAAAACAATGATGGGAGAACTTACCACAGTCTCTTGCTTTAATTTCTTGGATTCTGCATCCTCACTAGACTTTTCCTACAATCAAAAGTTGCATCTTTGAAATGTCAATGAAGAGAAAAGGTTCAGGACTCTTCCAGAACATACTTAAACCCCCATGCTCCTTATCTCTAATGAAGTGGCAAGAATAGAAAAAACTGGGAAGGTTTGGTTACAATCTCGCAATCTCTGCCGAGAAAAACTCACCAAGTTCCGTTTACGTGAGAGAGATAAAGTCTTCTGTAGCTTGCTAAGAAAGAGGATAGCGCTTTTGGTGCCACATGGGACAAGAGGTGTCTCTGTTTTTTCCTTCCATTCTACAAGAGAGAATATGGTACTTTTTGGTACTGAAACAAGCTTGAGGGATATAGTTTCATTATTAAATCTATTAAAGTGGAGTGAGTACTCTGAATGAGAATGTCTCTATTTCTACTGCAGGGGCAACATGCAGATAACAGGCCTAGGAATAGAGATTCAATGAATGAACTACTGTAAACATCCATTGTTAGTATATCTGACCTTCCAATAATACTGGTCCCTCAACTCCTCTGGAATTCACAACCACGCAGTATGGTAATGGCCACCAACTAGGACTTTAAAAGGTACTAGACAAATTCATGGAGGATAAGGCCACCAATGGCTACCAGTTAGGATAGTGTTATTTCCAAGATCAGGATATGCAGTTTTCAATGATAGCTGTTATGATAGCACGGGAGGCAGGTGGCGGGGAGGGGGGGATGAAATGTCCCTATAAAAATCTGATTGACCATTTGAGGAAGGGAAAGGAAGCTTCTATTCTGATCTAGCCCTGTTCATTACCATCAAGTGAACATTGCAAGCTGTTATCTAAGAGAAAGGTCAGTTCTCTGCAAAAGTTTACCAACTTGCCTATGCTAAATATTCATTGGCTGCACTCAGAACCAGATTCTTTGGGACATTCTACCTGGAGCAGTCCTGAAGGCATCATAAAATTGGCTCAAATAAGTGATGAAGCCAAGCTGCTCATCATCAGACAGCGAAGCCATTTCAGTGCTGGAGAGGACTGGACAAATGCCTAGCTCTTGCTCAGCCACATCTAAAGCCAGTTGGTTGTTCCCAATAGGGTCATTTGGGTCCAATGAATTGAAGTCCCTACAGTTGGAAGAAACAAATTACAACAACTAATCTCAGCCCAGCTGTAAAACATGATTTAAACATCAGGATGTTTTCTCCATCGATGTTTCATTTCTGCAGACTCCGCTGAAGAGAGACAAAGGAAGCGTAATTCATTCACGATTGCCTCCTGTATCATAAACATGGGTGGAAAAAGTACTTTGTTTTAAACAGATGTGCCTTTCTGTGAACCTTTGTTTTAACCCGCACAACACAAGATACTGCTATAAATAAAGTCAGCCAATGATGTTAACTAGAAAAAGAAGGGTGCAAAGGGTATAAAAAGGGTGTAAACCTGTAAAGGATTCTTTAGAAGTGTTTCTACAGTTATTGCTAGCTCCTAACATCTTGTGTGATGAGTTGGCCACGCACCAGGAAGGAATCTTGGAAACTGCTTTTCTTTTTCTTTCTCCTTATATATGTAAGTTTCAGTAAGTGAACACCAACCTGCCCTCCTTCCTGTAACAGAATTATGACCAGATGAAAAGGAAAAGTTGATGGCTACAGTCATTTGAGCACCAAATATGGTGCTAGAAATGCTGTAGTCATCCTATCAAGATCTGGCAGACAGGTTGGGAAGGGACTGTTTTCTTTGAAGTCTCAGGCTCTGCAGTTATTAGTCCCATCATCTCCCTGCAACAGAAACATTCAGAGAGAAAAAACATCTTTGCGATACAAATAAATAATTGCCTATATTAAAGTTTATGTCCACATTTTCTACTTAAGTTAACTTTTGTATCCATTTTGACTTTAATAAGCAGTATTTTATGAAATAAATTATATTATAGGGAAGGAGCTCGGACATAGTAGCTTTTAGTTATCAAAGCAAAAGTTACTTACAGTCTAAATTTGTCCATACATGGCCTAGTTATCTCATGTATGATAAATTGAGTTCTAAATCTCTAAAAAAAAAAAAATAACCCAAGGAATTTGGTTCTGTAAAGTCTTTTAGGAGAAAACCTTTTACAAATTAAAAAGAAGTAAAGGGTAGAAGCTTTTCAAAGAGCAATTCAACCTAGAACTAAGGAAAAATTTCCTGATGGTGAAAACAATTAATCAGTGTAAGAGGTTGCCTCCTGCAGTTGTGGGTGCTCCACTGTTTCAGGTTTTCAAAAATGGACTGGACAACCATTTGACCAGGACCTTGAGCAGAGGTCATGAAGACCACCAAGAATCCTTTTAGCCCCTATGATTCTATATTCTAAAAATAGCTAAATCTGGATTGGAATAGTAGCAATAGGAAATGGTGAACCTAGAAATCCAATGTAAAAGAAAAACAAAAAGTTGGTACAGATCTGTATTAAACTTCCCAGAAATGAGAAAAATCAGTAGGGAATGGAGATTATTTAGTTCATTGGATCATGTACAGAGCTGAGCCTGATTCTTACATTCACATTTAGCAGTTGCTGACTGCAGCATAAATTGTATAAATGAAAAAAAAAACCTATCATAGATGAAACCCCACAGAAGGTGACATTCATAACTGCATATCAGCTCATACATACAGTATCTATGGTAATGGCCAAATGCTTAAACAACTAGATTAATGCTTGGAGAACTAAAGTTTTGGAATCATAGAATCTATGAAGGATCCTTATAGATCATTTAGTCCAACATCTATTTGTGGGGGAGAAAAGTCCCTAAAATGCTTCTGGCAGTTAATTAAAGAGAGATGCTAATGAAAATGAAGGTACATGTGAAAACCTAAGTGTATAAAGTGATCTAACTCCAATGTTTGAGTGTATTTAAAAGAAAGCTTTATTCCAGCCCATTTTAGCCTTTTCCAATATTAGTAGCTATTCTGTCCCTTCAGCTTTCCCACAAACTCACAGAAGATCTGGGCGAAAGTGATGTATGAGGGCACAAAGAGCCAATCCACTTTTCCAGGAGCGTGTGAAGTCTTCCACCTTGATGCCATGGTAACTGGCAGTGTTTGATTGACACCAATTAAGAAGCTCTTCATAGGCTCTACTGGTATCTGGAGTAGGAGTATGGTATTGCACAGAGAAAAGAGAATTGATATTTACTTATAAGAGTGTCCAATTCCCAGTATGTCTTCAGATACAAATTTTATTTATTCCCTCATTTGTCCAATTTATAAAGAAAAAGCTTCACAGTATAGCAAAAAAATTTCTTTTGTCCATAGCTGTTGAAAAGCAAACCACTATAGTAACTAGCAGAAATCATACAAAGTTTATGTAACTGATACCTCTGAGTAGGTTACTGTATGACTATATTGTTATTATAATGTATAGAATAGTGGTTCAACCTGTCAGATAAAGATCTGTGCAACTTCATTGCTTATAGGAAAGCCAACAAAAGTACCGTATTTATCGGCGTATAACACGCACCGGCGTATAACACGCATTCCCCATTTTAACACAAAAATTTGAGTAAAAATTTTTTTCATTAAAAATAAATGACTTGGAAGCTCGGAACTTAATGTTGGATTAAAATTTATAACATTAGAACATGAATTACTTCCCCACCCT